GACAAAAAGACAGAAAAAAAAAAAAAAAAAGAATCACCTGGGGGTTCTCAAGCCCAGGTGCACATTAGATTCACCTGGGGGTTCTCAAGTCCAGATGCACATTAGAATCACCTGGGGGTTCTCAAGCCCAGATTCATATTAGAATCACCTGAAGGTTCTCAAGCCCAGATGCACATTAGAATCACCTGAAGGTTCTCAAGCCCAGATGCACATTAGATTCACCTGGGGGTTCTCAAGCCCAGATTCACATTAGAATCACCTGGGGGGAAGTTGGGGTAGGGATTGGGATCTAGATGGTCACACCTCACCCCAGGCCAATCAAATCAGAATGGTCTGGGGGGGAGGGGGCTGGGCATTGGTGTTTCTCCCCAGGGGTTCTCCTCAGAGGAGGTCATATTGTGCTCATGGAGAGGAACTTCGGGATTATATGGGTGGACAGGTGGCCAGTCTGAAGGGGAAAGGGAGGGATGGGGGAAGGGATCATTCCTGTTCTTTCTGGGCTGTCCCTCCAGGGTCTTACAGGAAACTTGGGACACCAAAGCCTTCCTTGTGGCTCAGCTGTCTGTCTCAGCACCTAGAAGCAAGTAACGAGAGGCCTTTGTTTCCCTTGCAAACTACCAATCCAAAATCCTCCTCCACCTGCTCTCCTGTGGCTCTTGGGGTGGGGAGAGGGGTCTGGGAGAAGCTGGCCACCCTTTTAAGTGGATGGGTCCCTATTTCTTCCTTCCTGTTTTTCCCCTCTGCCCTGATTCAGGGGCCACCTAGTGCCTGGGAATTAGCCCCTTACCTCACTCCAGAAGGGACACTAACAACAGAGGCTGACACAAGGTCCTTTCCCTTCGTCCTTTAGGTAACAATAAGCTAACATTTTTATATGCCATAAGGTAGACTCGGTTTGAACTCTCCCAACAATTGGATGCACTCAATGTGATTATCCCTGTTGTCCAGACACAGAGACTGAGGTTCTGAGAAGTTCTGTAACTGCCAGAGATCCCACAGCTGCCCAGTGGCAGAGCAGCATACAAACCCAGGGAGTCAGGCTTCAGAGCCATGCACTTCACTGGGACCCTACTGCAGGAGTGGTGGGCACCACCCAGCAGAAGTGGATTCAAGTCATCTCAGGCCTTGGCAGGGAGATCTCTCAGTTAGTCGGTCACAATTCCAGGGTCTGGCCACTTTTCCTATTTTATATTTTCATAATTTAACCACTGTCTCACTTTTCCTATAAACTCCATATTTTTGCCACTTGCTGAGGGGTGTCTTGATTTCTGAGTCTATATAGCTGGGCAGAACATAATAAAGTGACAGTATTTTGTGTGCCTAAAGAGAGACATGGGCAAGAATAGGAGCATAGAAGTAGAGGGATCAAAAGGATGGACACCTTTTGGACCCTAACAGACATTATCAGCCCCCAGAGCTAGGGGAGTCGGTCAGTCCAGAAGGTTCCAAGGGATAGGTTGGACCTGCTGTCAAGGCCCAGCCAGACTCCTGATTTACTTCTGCCTTCTCCCGCAGGAACACCACGTCACCTCGGGCATTCTTTCCACCCAAGGCATCGAATTCTGGGACAAGAAAGGTACAGTGGTTGGCTACTCTGGGGCAGTTTTGAGCATCCTCGATTTAGCAGGCAGGAGGCAAAAGAAGAAGAGCAAATGAGAACATTCTCATGAGACTGCTGGGCACAAGCTCTTTGGAACACCCCAAGCACAAAGCTAAGCATCCATCCACTCAGGGCTTCTACGACCTGACCACTAGGGTTTTCTGTACCCCAGTAGCAGAGAAGGATGAATAAACATGAACCCCTGGGGTATAGCCAGCTGAAAAGTTCTTGGGAGACTTAAGATTTTATCTTAAAAAGTCCTGTGAATTATATACTCTATTCCAAAAAATATGTATACACACATTTAAACCGCTCACCATGGAGTAAACTGCATGTTTGCCCAGAGGGTTTGAGAACCTTCAAGGCCCTGCTCCATAACTATAAGTAATAGCCAACGTTGATTGCGGTTGTCCCATGTACTGCATGGCACTTTACCTGCATTCTGTCACAGAAGCCTCACAGCAACCATAGAAGGTGGCTCTTACCAATGAGCCAGATGAGGCAGAGGGAAACTAGGGACATTGCTTGGGATCACTCAGGAAGAGGTGACACTAGGATTTGAACCTCTAGTCTGGCCCAGAACCTGGCTCTGAGTCACTGTGTGATACAGCCTCCCCTCTGGCTCTGTGTGCTGAGGTTGAGTACAGGATGTCTGTGTGGTTCCAGATTAACATGAGCTTAAGAGTTGTTTTCAATGCCCAAGAGACTGAACTGGAACATGGTGACTAAGGCCTCAGGGAGGAATATTTTACTGCATGCACAAGCCAGTGACAGACAAGCTGCTCAGAGACAGAGCAAGTAGCCCTGGGCAGGTGATGGGGAGCCCTTCCTGAGAACAGAGACCAATGGACACTTGGCTGGCAGGCTAAAGGGAGGCCTCAAGCTTCTCACGAGTGCCGTATGAGGTCATCTTCAAGTTTCCTAAAGTCCTTTCCACCTTGAGCTGCTTGAAGCTAATTGACATATATCCCTACCTGGTTTAAAAACATAAAAAAAGTGGGGTGGGGGAGCTGCCCGGTTGGCTCAGTTGGTTAGAGTGCAGTCTTATAACTCCAAAGGTCACAGGTTCAGATCCCCATACTGGCCAGCTGCCAAAAAAAAAAAAATCCACTTCCAACTTAAAAAAAGATTTGAGGTGGCTTTTGCATACATATAACAAGGTAAAAACATAAAGTAGAATAAAATGAGGTAATGAATGAAGGAAAAGTAAAGGCAGGAAAATAAGACAAGTGAGGTAAGTTCATGAAAAGTGTGCCCCGAGGTGGAAAAGATGGGCCATATGTCTGGCTCTGAGCTTCTCAGCGGCCAGAGATAAGAAGGAAACTTTGCCACCGTGTCCATGAAATAAAAGCACGCCAGCTGCCCACATGAAGCACAGTCTTTCCTGATATGGAGACCTGAGGAGTTTTCTTCTGGAGCTTCATAAAGAGGGCCCCCAGAAACACCCCTATGACAAATTGAATCGTGAAATTATTTGTCAGTTTTGCTATCATGCTTGCTTTGAAAATGTGGATTTGTTCCAAAATGATTGATATATTAGGAGACAATGTGAGCATCACACAAATTTAGTGTTTGCTTATGAGTGATTTTTGTCAGTGGGAACACTAGGTACATGCAGAAAGCCACACCCAAGTGAATCGAGCCACGCATGGACACACAAAAAGCACACACGTACAACCCTGAGATATCCGTCAGCTTCACCGCCCGTGTTGTGGGCTCACCCACTCACATCCACTGTTACAACCTCCTTTCTGATTCCAGACAACTCTCCTTCCACCATTTCACAATAACTCACAAGCTGCCACCCTTCCAGCACCCCTTGCCACAAACCAACCCCAACCAGACAACTCTCCTTCCACCATTTCACAATAACTCACAAGCTGCCACCCTTCCAGCACCCCCTGCCACAAACCAACCCCAAGACTTTTTAAAGTGCCATATTTTTAGTCGTATTTATGCATTTCTTAACCATGGAACATGTGTAAAACTGTAGATTGCAACCCTCGGTGTTGCCCCCGCGCCTCGCTCAGCCAGCGAGCGGGAACCGGTCTGTATGTGGGATCCGAACCCTCGGGCAGGAGCGCCGCCACACTTCCCAAGCGGCGCACTTATCCAGTGCGCCACCAGGCCGGCCCCGACCCCAAGACTTTTTAAAGTGCCATATTTTTAGTCGTATTTATGCATTTCTTAACCATGGAACATGTGTAAAACTGTGCTCGTCTTTCTCAGGTTCTCATCTTTGGTTTTATGCATCACTGACAAGGTTTTTCAGTTTTGTGCCATTAATCCCATTTTCCCGTAAGCCCTGGGGTTTTGACTGCACAGTTTTGCATAGCTCGGTGATTTCTAGGCACTCATATGTCGCATTGTAGGAGAAATGACTGAACAGCTATTTCCTGCTTTGATCAAACCAACAGCTTAACAAAGAGCCCTGTTCAGTAGTAACAGTAGCCCTACCCAGGCTAAGGCCATGTGAGATTTGGACATTGCTGGCTTGCAGGCAGACAAGGCTGAGGCCTGTTTAGTACCCCACTCTCCCTCAAGGCCCACGAGTGCAGAATCCCTGTATTTGTTTCCTGTAACTGCTGCTAGGACAAATGACCACCAACTGGGTGGCTTAAAGTAGAAATTGGAGCTGGCCAGTTAGCTCAGTTAAGAGCGTGGGGCTGTAACACCAAGGTCCATGGTTCAGATCCTCATACTGGCTGGCCACCAAAAAAAGTCAAAAATAAAATAAAACAACAGAAACTGATTCTCCAACAGTTCTGGAGACCAGAAGTCCAAAATCAAAGTGTTGGCAGGGCCGTGCTCCCTCCAAAGGCTCTCGGGAAGCCTCCCTTGTCTCTTCCCTGCTTCTGGAAGCTCCAGGGGTTCCCTGGCTTGTCTTGGCTTCACTGCATCTCTGTCTCCATCAGATGGCTTGTTCTCTGTGTGTCTTCACGTGGCCTCCTTAAAAGAATGCTAGTCATTGGTCCAACCTAGCCCCGGATGAACTCGCCTCATCTTAATTAATTGCATCTGCAAAAACCCTATCACATTCTGAGGTTCCAGGTAGACATGAATCTCAAAGGGCACTATTCAACCCCATATAGGCACCAACGGGAAGAAAGATGACCATAAATCTTCCCAACAGCCCTTTCACACTTGATCTTACAGTGAGTACTGCCAGAGCTAGGGTCTGGACCCAGGCTGACAGATGCCACAGTCCAGGCTGGAACTCCTCCAGCAAGGGAACAGGCGGGTCATACTCATTCACTGGTAAACGCCCCCAAGTTTGCCCAAGCATGAGGCCAGAGCCATCAGGCCATGGAGATGTGGTGTCCAGGAGAGGAAGGGCTGGGCAGGCTAAATGCAGAAAGCTCTCTGACCCCTACCAGGTGCTGGGCCATAGGCAACCTCAGCTCACAGATATGGGAATGGCCCCAATCTGGAGGGGGTAAAGCAGCTCTTCCCTCCCAACACTCGTTGGGGTCTGCAGGCTCCTGGGGAGGCTGCCCACCCACCTTAGCCCCCACCTAATGGGCCTCAGCCTTCTCATCTTCTCACCCACAGAGCTGGCCCTGCCGACACTCACTGTACCTGGCCATTCAGCGGCACCCACACTTCCGGAGCCTGTTTAATCTCTCCACTCCAGTGCTGTTGTGGGGGGGCCTCTTCACCCCAGAGCTCTGGGACAGCCTGAGTCAGCACAAAGCTCCCTACGGCTGGCAGGGGCTCTCACACCAAGGTAACCTGCTGCCTCCTGCTCTGCCTGCTGCCTCAGCTGGTCCCTTCCTCCTGCTCTTGGCCCTGGGGTAGGCCAGGCCTCTCTGCACTTGTGGCACCAGTGATGTGGGGCCTCCCTGTGCCCCGTTCTCCTCCCAGACCCCCAGCTGTGCGACTCCTGTCCTATCTCCTCTTCCATCCAAGCATTGAGAAGGCTGGGGCTGCCCCCCTCCTCCCAGTGGCTCTCACCAGCCTGGGGCTTCCCTGGNAAAAAAAAAAAAAAAAGAATCACCTGGGGGTTCTCAAGCCCAGGTGCACATTAGATTCACCTGGGGGTTCTCAAGTCCAGATGCACATTAGAATCACCTGGGGGTTCTCAAGCCCAGATTCATATTAGAATCACCTGAAGGTTCTCAAGCCCAGATGCACATTAGAATCACCTGAACATTCTCAAGCCCAGATTCACATTAGAATCACCTGGGGGGAAGTTGGGGTAGGGATTGGGATCTAGATGGTCACACCTCACCCCAGGCCAATCAAATCAGAATGGTCTGGGGGGGAGGGGGCTGGGCATTGGTGTTTCTCCCCAGGGGTTCTCCTCAGAGGAGGTCATATTGTGCTCATGGAGAGGAACTTCGGGATTATATGGGTGGACAGGTGGCCAGTCTGAAGGGGAAAGGGAGGGATGGGGGAAGGGATCATTCCTGTTCTTTCTGGGCTGTCCCTCCAGGGTCTTACAGGAAACTTGGGACACCAAAGCCTTCCTTGTGGCTCAGCTGTCTGTCTCAGCACCTAGAAGCAAGTAACGAGAGGCCTTTGTTTCCCTTGCAAACTACCAATCCAAAATCCTCCTCCACCTGCTCTCCTGTGGCTCTTGGGGTGGGGAGAGGGGTCTGGGAGAAGCTGGCCACCCTTTTAAGTGGATGGGTCCCTATTTCTTCCTTCCTGTTTTTCCCCTCTGCCCTGATTCAGGGGCCACCTAGTGCCTGGGAATTAGCCCCTTACCTCACTCCAGAAGGGACACTAACAACAGAGGCTGACACAAGGTCCTTTCCCTTCGTCCTTTAGGTAACAATAAGCTAACATTTTTATATGCCATAAGGTAGACTCGGTTTGAACCCTCCCAACAATTGGATGCACTCAATGTGATTATCCCTGTTGTCCAGACACAGAGACTGAGGTTCTGAGAAGTTCTGTAACTGCCAGAGATCCCACAGCTGCCCAGTGGCAGAGCAGCATACAAACCCAGGGAGTCAGGCTTCAGAGCCATGCACTTCACTGGGACCCTACTGCAGGAGTGGTGGGCACCACCCAGCAGAAGTGGATTCAAGTCATCTCAGGCCTTGGCAGGGAGATCTCTCAGTTAGTCGGTCACAATTCCAGGGTCTGGCCACTTTTCCTATTTTATATTTTCATAATTTAACCACTGTCTCACTTTTCCTATAAACTCCATATTTTTGCCACTTGCTGAGGGGTGTCTTGATTTCTGAGTCTATATAGCTGGGCAGAACATAATAAAGTGACAGTATTTTGTGTGCCTAAAGAGAGACATGGGCAAGAATAGGAGCATAGAAGTAGAGGGATCAAAAGGATGGACACCTTTTGGACCCTAACAGACATTATCAGCCCCCAGAGCTAGGGGAGTCGGTCAGTCCAGAAGGTTCCAAGGGATAGGTTGGACCTGCTGTCAAGGCCCAGCCAGACTCCTGATTTACTTCTGCCTTCTCCCGCAGGAACACCACGTCACCTCGGGCATTCTTTCCACCCAAGGCATCGAATTCTGGGACAAGAAAGGTACAGTGGTTGGCTACTCTGGGGCAGTTTTGAGCATCCTCGATTTAGCAGGCAGGAGGCAAAAGAAGAAGAGCAAATGAGAACATTCTCATGAGACTGCTGGGCACAAGCTCTTTGGAACACCCCAAGCACAAAGCTAAGCATCCATCCACTCAGGGCTTGCTTCTACGACCTGACCACTAGGGTTTTCTGTACCCCAGTAGCAGAGAAGGATGAATAAACATGAACCCCTGGGGTATAGCCAGCTGAAAAGTTCTTGGGAGACTTAAGATTTTATCTTAAAAAGTCCTGTGAATTATATACTCTATTCCAAAAAATATGTATACACACATTTAAACCGCTCACCATGGAGTAAACTGCATGTTTGCCCAGAGGGTTTGAGAACCTTCAAGGCCCTGCTCCATAACTATAAGTAATAGCCAACGTTGATTGCGGTTGTCCCATGTACTGCATGGCACTTTACCTGCATTCTGTCACAGAAGCCTCACAGCAACCATAGAAGGTGGCTCTTACCAATGAGCCAGATGAGGCAGAGGGAAACTAGGGACATTGCTTGGGATCACTCAGGAAGAGGTGACACTAGGATTTGAACCTCTAGTCTGGCCCAGAACCTGGCTCTGAGTCACTGTGTGATACAGCCTCCCCTCTGGCTCTGTGTGCTGAGGTTGAGTACAGGATGTCTGTGTGGTTCCAGATTAACATGAGCTTAAGAGTTGTTTTCAATGCCCAAGAGACTGAACTGGAACATGGTGACTAAGGCCTCAGGGAGGAATATTTTACTGCATGCACAAGCCAGTGACAGACAAGCTGCTCAGAGACAGAGCAAGTAGCCCTGGGCAGGCGATGGGGAGCCCTTCCTGAGAACAGAGACCAATGGACACTTGGCTGGCAGGCTAAAGGGAGGCCTCAAGCTTCTCACGAGTGCTGTATGAGGTCATCTTCAAGTTTCCTAAAGTCCTTTCCACCTTGAGCTGCTTGAAGCTAATAGACATATATCCCTACCTGGTTTAAAAACATAAAAAAAGTGGGGTGGGGGAGCTGCCCGGTTGGCTCAGTTGGTTAGAGTGCAGTCTTATAACTCCAAAGGTCACAGGTTCAGATCCCCATACTGGCCAGCTGCCAAAAAAAAAAAAATCCACTTCCAACTTAAAAAAAGATTTGAGGTGGCTTTTGCATACATATAACAAGGTAAAAACATAAAGTAGAATAAAATGAGGTAATGAATGAAGGAAAAGTAAAGGCAGGAAAATAAGACAAGTGAGGTAAGTTCATGAAAAGTGTGCCCCGAGGTGGAAAAGATGGGCCATATGTCTGGCTCTGAGCTTCTCAGCGGCCAGAGATAAGAAGGAAACTTTGCCACCGTGTCCATGAAATAAAAGCACGCCAGCTGCCCACATGAAGCACAGTCTTTCCTGATATGGAGACCTGAGGAGTTTTCTTCTGGAGCTTCATAAAGAGGGCCCCCAGAAACACCCCTATGACAAATTGAATCGTGAAATTATTTGTCAGTTTTGCTATCATGCTTGCTTTGAAAATGTGGATTTGTTCCAAAATGATTGATATATTAGGAGACAATGTGAGCATCACACAAATTTAGTGTTTGCTTATGAGTGATTTTTGTCAGTGGGAACACTAGGTACATGCAGAAAGCCACACCCAAGTGAATCGAGCCACGCATGGACACACAAAAAGCACACACGTACAACCCTGAGATATCCGTCAGCTTCACCGCCCGTGTTGTGGGCTCACCCACTCACATCCACTGTTACAACCTCCTTTCTGATTCCAGACAACTCTCCTTCCACCATTTCACAATAACTCACAAGCTGCCACCCTTCCAGCACCCCCTGCCACAAACCAACCCCAAGACTTTTTAAAGTGCCATATTTTTAGTCGTATTTATGCATTTCTTAACCATGGAACATGTGTAAAACTGTACTCGTCTTTCTCAGGTTCTCATCTTTGGTTTTATGCATCACTGACAAGGTTTTTCAGTTTTGTGCCATTAATCCCATTTTCCCGTAAGCCCTGGGGTTTTGACTGCACAGTTTTGCATAGCTCGGTGATTTCTAGGCACTCATATGTCGCATTGTAGGAGAAATGACTGAACAGCTATTTCCTGCTTTGATCAAACCAACAGCTTAACAAAGAGCCCTGTTCAGTAGTAACAGTAGCCCTACCCAGGCTAAGGCCATGTGAGATTTGGACATTGCTGGCTTGCAGGCAGACAAGGCTGAGGCCTGTTTAGTACCCCACTCTCCCTCAAGGCCCACGAGTGCAGAATCCCTGTATTTGTTTCCTGTAACTGCTGCTAGGACAAATGACCACCAACTGGGTGGCTTAAAGTAGAAATTGGAGCTGGCCAGTTAGCTCAGTTAAGAGCGTGGGGCTGTAACACCAAGGTCCATGGTTCAGATCCTCATACTGGCTGGCCACCAAAAAAAGTCAAAAATAAAATAAAACAACAGAAACTGATTCTCCAACAGTTCTGGAGACCAGAAGTCCAAAATCAAAGTGTTGGCAGGGCCGTGCTCCCTCCAAAGGCTCTCGGGAAGCCTCCCTTGTCTCTTCCCTGCTTCTGGAAGCTCCAGGGGTTCCCTGGCTTGTCTTGGCTTCACTGCATCTCTGTCTCCATCAGATGGCTTGTTCTCTGTGTGTCTTCACGTGGCCTCCTTAAAAGAATGCTAGTCATTGGTCCAACCTAGCCCCGGATGAACTCGCCTCATCTTAATTAATTGCATCTGCAAAAACCCTATCACATTCTGAGGTTCCAGGTAGACATGAATCTCAAAGGGCACTATTCAACCCCATATAGGCACCAACGGGAAGAAAGATGACCATAAATCTTCCCAACAGCCCTTTCACACTTGATCTTACAGTGAGTACTGCCAGAGCTAGGGTCTGGACCCAGGCTGACAGATGCCACAGTCCAGGCTGGAACTCCTCCAGCAAGGGAACAGGCGGGTCATACTCATTCACTGGTAAACGCCCCCAAGTTTGCCCAAGCATGAGGCCAGAGCCATCAGGCCATGGAGATGTGGTGTCCAGGAGAGGAAGGGCTGGGCAGGCTAAATGCAGAAAGCTCTCTGACCCCTACCAGGTGCTGGGCCACAGGCAACCTCAGCTCACAGATATGGGAATGGCCCCAATCTGGAGGGGGTAAAGCAGCTCTTCCCTCCCAACACTCGTTGGGGTCTGCAGGCTCCTGGGGAGGCTGCCCACCCACCTTAGCCCCCACCTAATGGGCCTCAGCCTTCTCATCTTCTCACCCACAGAGCTGGCCCTGCCGACACTCACTGTACCTGGCCATTCAGCGGCACCCCCACTTCCGGAGCCTGTTTAATCTCTCCACTCCAGTGCTGTTGTGGGGGGGCCTCTTCACCCCAGAGCTCTGGGACAGCCTGAGTCAGCACAAAGCTCCCTACGGCTGGCAGGGGCTCTCGCACCAAGGTAACCTGCTGCCTCGGCTTGTCCCTTCCTCCTGTTCTTGGCCCTGGGGTAGGCCAGGCCTCTCTACCCTTGTGGCACCAGTGATGTGGGGTCTCCCTGTGCCCCGTTCTCCTCCCAGACCCCCAGCTGTGCGACTCCTGTCCTATCTCCTCTTCCATCCAAGCAGTGAGAAGGCTGGGGCTGCCCCCCTCCTCCCAGTGGCTCTCACCAGCCTGGGGCTTCCCTGGCATGAAAGGCCCCAGTGTCCAAGGTGTCCAACGGTGGCTGAGGACAGAGGCTGCCAGGCCTCCAGCAGCCTTGCTCATAGCTGCTGCTGTGGGAACCGCCCAGGGTCCCCACCACGTTAACTCTGCCCCCAACCTCCACCCACATGCCTCAGATTCTTTTCTTTTGGAACATGCAGTCTTCATAGGAGTAGTTATTTGAGTTCTTCCCAGCCAAGCCCCCCTCTGTCCTCTTTTCAGATCCCACCCCCAATGACATTTCTTTCTCTTCCCACCCTCTGTGCTTCTTGGGAGGGGCTGGGGTCAGGCCTCAGGTGAGGTGGGACACCAGATAGCCTTGGGAAGGCCCCAGATGTCCCTGGTGACAGACCTCTTTATGGCTCCCCCTTGTCCTGCACCCACAGCTATCGCCACTGCCCTGAGCCTTCTGAGTGGCTCCGAGAGTGCGCAGCTATTTCCCGCCTCCAGGGAGCCACCTCCAAACTGCATTCGGTGTGCTGTGGTGGGCAATGGGGGCATTCTGAATGGGTCCCGCCAGGGTGCAAACATCGATGCCCATGACTACGTGTTCAGGTACGCGGGGCAGGGGCCAGGGAGGAGAGGGAGAAGGGAGCTTTGCAGAAAGCTGGTCGTCAGCCAATCCTGGGAGCATCTTCGCTGAGGACAGTGGGCTGGGGCAGGACCGGCCTCAGGCAGCCCAGCGGTTGCAAAGACAGGCCCCGATGAAGGCAGATGCAAACGGCAGACCCTGAAGACGCAGCGTGGGCGCCCATATGCAAAGGGACCTGGGAGAAAGGAGCCACCAGGGCCAGATTTACCCATTCTCAGGCGACCTTTGAGGTCTGAAGGAGTAGGGATTGGGCTGGCCACTGGGCACTGGTGCTGATGTGGGCAGAGGGAGTGATCCAGAGAGAGACCTGGGCACAGGCAATGCAGAGCCGTGAGATGGAAGTAAAACAGCATGGTGTGACCACAAAGAGACTGATGGGCCTCTGTCCGGACCAGACTCAATGGTGCTGTGATCAAAGGCTTCGAGCGCGATGTGGGCACCAAGATCTCCTTCTATGGTTTCACTGTGAACACGATGAAGAACTCCCTCATCTCCTACAGGAGGCTGGGCTTCACCTCTGTGCCCCAAGGACAGGTAAGGCCTTTGATGGGCACACCATCATTCCTGGAACCCCCTCAGTGGGGTGGGCCACAAGGCTCACAAACCCCCACCCAGCAGATGGAGCGTTGAAGGTGAAGGAGGCTCTGGCAGGGACTCCTTTGCTGTTCTAGGCAGCACAGGACTCCTCTGGGGCATGCGACGTGAATGGCTGGTATTTCCGGAATGCTTATGTGTGCCAGGCACTTTACAGATAACATGTCAACCCCACTTTACTGGTGAGGAGACTAGAGAGCTCAGTGCCGCTTCATTCAGCAAGTCAGAGGGAGGGCCAGGAGTCAAATCCAAACCGCCCACCCAGAGCTCACATTCTTTGGGGAGGTCGGCATGTCACAGTCATGCACGGGAAGTGACTTTTGAGTACCTCCTGTGTTCCCAGCATGGTACAGGCATGAACATTGTCTGTCATTTATACCCATTTCCGGATGGCAAAGCTGAGATGCTGAGAGGTTCAGGAACATGTCCAAGGCCACACAGCTAGAATCGTCAAAATCTAGGTCCCTTT